CTTCTTCTCCTTCATGCCTCCAGTAGGGGACTGTTGGATGGAAAACAGAAATGATGAGGACATAGTTCATTGTTATGCTCAAGGAACCACAAAGATTGCAATCAAAGTGCACACATACCACAAAAACGATTTCAAACAGTAAAAGCAAAGTTGCCACAGCTCCAAAAGTAGAAAAATATTTATTTATGTTTTCACCACAAGTGATGCTCAAGGAACCACCAATAATCAGAAATTTGAAACGCCCAATCAGAAGTGAAGACATGATTTGTGGCCTACAGCTCAAGTGAATTACTGATATGAGGAACTCACCAGCAAGTCTGGGGTGTTGACATCCAAGGGCTCCTCAACCTCAAAGTGCTTCTTACACTCCAGGGCGGGCTGAGCGGGTCTTTCCATCAGAGCCTTCACGAAGTATTGAACATGCCCAAACTTGCCCTTGTAGGAAGACACCAGTTGTCTGTTGAGAAATAACACTTGTATTAATTAACCAACAAACGACTTAGAAGGAAATGCATGCCAGGAGCTGGTCAACTGGAATGCTTACCCTTGTTGAGGAAGCTCAAAGCCAAATGAGTATCCATACTTGTTGCCAGGACGGAGGATGACCGAACCATCTGTGTCTGTGAGAAGATAAAACATACAAGTTTTGAAGAGTTCTAAGAGATCATGATACAAACAAATGAAACAAACCCATTAAAAACAAAGGAACCCCCCTTACTATGAACTACCAGTGTGACTTCACTATCAGTTAAGACCTTTTGTTGAGCTGTTTTTAAACTAGAACTATTTTCACATAAATTAACACATTACTGTAACACATTTATTTAAAATATCCAGTATGTATTCTTTTTTCACAGTGTCACATTCCAACATCAGCATCATCTCAACAAACCCACCTACCAAAGCAAAGTCAGCTTTAAACACGCACTTAAAACAGTTTAAGCTCACCTGCTGGATGGTCATCCAGGTGCACAAGGTCTTCATACTTCAGATAGTCAACTTCTTCACGACATCTCTGTTTGCCTTTGGCGTACTCCACTTTAGCGCATCCGACTCCCAGGACCTTCATGGCCATCACCCTGGTCACCTCCGACACCTCCACCAAGATCTTCCCGGCCACTTTATCTCCACTGCAGTAAAAGGTCTTGGATGGGTCGTTGAAGGCGATCTCGAAGACCTTGATTCCTTTTGTCATCGCCACCATTGTGTTGTTTTATAAACTTCCAAGCCGCAACGAAATTAAGATACGCGTCTAAAAGTTGGTAACGTTAATTCAACCAGATATTTAGTAGTCCTTCAAAAGTGCGTCCAAAAAGCTTGACCTGGTATGAAATGCAGCAAAACCAGTGCTTTATGTAAATTCACAATTCACCGACTCCTCTCTCGCATGGTCAGTTTAGGAGCTTTGAGCACGCTGGGGCTAGGCTAGGGTTTTATACCCAGACGAGTCTGCCAGTGACTCACTCGGCTTGTTTACCACTTCAGCTGTTCATGTGGAAGCGGTATGCACAGCATGGCTCAGCGCATGCACAGCGCTCCCATTGGTCGAAATTCGCTGTTCGTGTCGTCACCAGCCAATCAGCGGCCAGAAGCGACGCGTGGACACCTCGTGGCTGAGAGCGCCGAGCGAGTGCGCAGCAGCTGCAGGAAGAGGAAGGGAGGAGGCGCTGGAGGAGTGACTCCGCGGATGAAGTCTGAACAAAGGAGCGGGGTGTAGCAAGAGCATGCCCAACAATTTAGAGAACCAATGAGAAATTCAACCGAAAACTTCACTGTGTGCTACGTGCACCGTTTGGATGTACTAGAACACAGCTGAGGCGGTATTCCCCCGAAACAAACTCAAGCCTAGTTTAACAACATCCGCCGACTAATAAGAAAGCACTTGACTGCGTTTACAAGATTAGTGCTGACCTCGAAACCGCATACTACTCTTGCTATCAATATGCATTTATACACGTTTATACATACAGTGGTGGTGGCCAAAATTATTAGAGCACTAGTATTTTCAGTCACCAGCTAAAAATGGTTTTAAGTCAGTTATTTCTATCTTTTGCTGTAGTGTGTCAGTAGGAAATATCAGTTTACATTTCCAAACATTCATTTCCCTAAAAAAGGTTTTCACTTATAAAGCTCTAAAAAACCTTACTGACTGCTGTTTTAGCGCACTTCCTGAAAATATGGAAATAATAAATAAATAAAGGGTCTCAATTAAATATGAGCAGTTTCACATGGTTAGTGGAAACTGTCACATGACCAAAGCAGTTTAATTCCTGTTTGCACCTCGAGAAGATGATGGCTGCATCAAAGCTCCAAAACGAACGCATGTTAATAAAGATATGACAAAGATTTTTGGTACACAGTATCTTTAAGGTGTCTAGTATAAATATATGAATTCACATTTTTGTTGTGTGTAGTCATCGAATGAGTAAATTCTTGATGGTCACAATAGTGATAACAGTGAACTTAGGTATACAATATATAAATCCAATTGCAGTTGTTAGTGAAAATTGCACTAAAATGTTGCAATGACAAAATATTGCATTAAATTAAAAGTTCAAATGTTACAAATAAGTTACAATGTTGATGTTGTAAAACTGGGAGCACTATTATAACATTTTATGATATATGTTACAAAAAGTAATAATTTTGAAATATGTTGATGATTGTATTTGTTTGTCTTTTATCTCAGTATTCTTATCAATGTTGTATAGGGTTTTTTATGCATAATGGTAACCCTAGAATGTGATCAAGCTGTTTAAAAAAGCTGGGCTAAGATATATAACAATTTTTATGACTGCAGAAATATAATTCAGTAGGCTATAAACATTATCCCACCAGTCACAATTGTGACCGACCATAAAACAATATTTCACACACTTTTCCCAAAAATAATTATTGACTATTTTAAAGGGTTACTAATAACAATTTGGGATTAAACGGGTTAATTGTAATAATCCAGTGAGATTTGTTTCTGACAAACAGCCAGTGCTGCACACAGAGATCTGATCTGATCATCATCAGTCTGTCTGAGATCACATGAAGAAACAGAACAAACTGAGACAGACTCAATCCAGAACAACTGTGCCAACGTCTCCAAGACGCTTCAAGAAACCTACCCGCAAAGCTACAGTACTGTTAACAGTTTTAGGCACTTGTGTAAAAATGCTGTAAAATGAGGATGCTGTCAAAAATAATGTCATAAATAGATTTTCTTTATCAATTAACTTCTATTAACTAAATTAAATCAACATTTGGTGTGAGCATCCTTTGCGTTTAAAGCAGCTTTTGCCCTCGGTGCACTTGCAGATAGTTTTTCAGGTAGCTTTGCAGGTGGGTCTCTTGAAGCGTCTCGGAGACGTTGGCACAGTTGTTCTGGATTGAGTCTGTCTCAGTTTGTTCTGTTTCTTCATGTGATCTCAGACAGACTGATGATGATCAGATCAGATCTCTGTGTGCAGCACTGGCCGTTTGTCAGACAAAAATCTCACTTGAATAAACTTGTTCAACATCTTATGATATATTCTACAATAATGCAAGTTTATAGTTGCATATGGCTTAAGTTTAAGTCTATGGTTTAAGTCTAATTTTCATCTGTAGACTCAAGCCTACCCTAAAAAAAGCAAACATAGCATCTTATAAAAAATAGGGGATAACACACACACACACACACACACACACACACAAATATACATGTATATATACAAGCAACATAATCCCACACATAAATCATACTAAAAACATTGTATTGTAGAAAAATGTATCTAAACTCATATTGTGCTATTGAGCTGACCTCAAACAGTCTACACAATAAATAAATAATAATAATAATAATTATAATAAATAATAATTTAGTTAACGACCATTTCCAGACGGCTCTTTTTGGCTGTGGAAAAATATAGGCCTCTCTGCCTCAATCTGACGGCAAAGACCCATATCACGGGAAAGTGTTTCTACTCCACACAAGTGCTCTGTTTACTGGAGAGTAGATCTCTTCACCCAAGGGACCATTTAACATGAATATGATTGACTTGTGAATTTGATGATAATTTGTGAACAATTAAAGAGTAGGCTTGGCAAAAATAACGAGAACAGTGAGCAACAGCGCCTCCCACTGGAAGAAAGATTGCCGGGTTGACTGTAACATTGGCTCCCTCTGCTGGTCACACTTGCGTATAGCACAATCAAATGGAAAAATCTGTCAAAATAATTTGAAAATATTTTTATATTCATATAAAAAAAAAAACATTTTAAATTGAATGAAATAGGTATAAATAAAGAAAAAATTAAATTCATGTGCTGTGTCATTTTTGGGTGAACTGTATTAATTTAACAGATATTTCTCTGCACTGTAAGCCGCAAACGATACCTTGACACTTGATTGAAACTGACCTCCCATGGCATGCAATTCATCTAAATGTAAATGTTAAACGTGAGTACACAGCATATATATTATGATCACATGACAGTAAACATTCCAGATAAGGTTTTTTTGGGGACTTCTTTCAGTCTAACAGTAAGAGGCAGTGATTTTCTTAGAAAGTCAGTTGTCCCTTCTCACACCTGTGAAAAATAATTTTGCTACTATATTATATCACTTAAAAAATAGTGATATAAACTGCCGTATGTGCGATTTAAATGACTTTAAGATTTACTATAAGATGACTAGATTTTATATTTAAGTATTATTTATTAAACCGATTTGATTAATTAATTGATTAATAAATAAAAATATTTTTTGGATCAATGAAAACATTAACTTCGTTTTATTTCAGCTTTCTTCTTCTTCTACTTATTATTATTATTATTATTATTATTTCTGTATCATATTGCCGTTTAATGAATGAATGAATACCTTTATTGTCATTATCCAACTGTACAACGAAATTGAAAAGGGGCCAACGGGTTTTAAACACTCTGTTTATAACTTTAATAATAAATGGTTGAAAAGACTTTTTTTGGTGTCCTACATCAACACAACTGACAGTTGCTAGTAGCAACCATAGAGCGCAGTACTTCCAGGTGAGAAGTCACTTAAAAGTCTCTCAAATATGGCTGCCCCCTTGGAGTTGTTCTGTTGGAAAGGCGATTATGGATTACCTTCAGTAGATGTCGACTGTTTAACTGTGCTGGTAAGAGAGAAACACACCGGTTGGATGTATATCGCAGTAGTTTTGCGGTAAATGTGTTGTAGTTGTGTGTCGGTTGTCAGGAGCGATGGGCGGTGACTTACAGCGCGCGTGATGGACGGTGTCTGAGTCACACATGTCTGTATGGGCTCATGCTTTAAACTCTCATATATTAAACAATTGTATATATGATAAAATATCGAACGATCCTCTTGGTTCAGTGGATGAGTTACAGCAATTACAGTAATTTTAAGGATCATAAATGAATTACACTAGGTCAGCTACACTGCTATAGGTGTATGTTATTCCGATCATGTTCATGTTTCATGATCAGTGTCACAAACAATTGATTAGTGGCCTAGTAATAATATAGAATCTTAAATTTTCCTAATATTTAATTGTTTAAAATATATATAAAAATGGAAATCTTATTTCATAATATATTTTAAATGAAAAATGAATTAATATTTTAGGATTATATTTACAATTATTATATTATTGCGACATTCAAATGTATAATACTGTGATGTTGTTTGTCATTTTTAAATGAGAATGACTGATATTAAGTTCCCCTTAAGATTATTTATTAATTACTTAATTTTGACAGTAAATCCATTAGCATACCTTTTTTTTTCTCGACAAAGACTGTATGTTTGACTATAGAGCATCTTAAAGGAATAGTCCTCACCCTCAGGTCATCCAAAATGTAGAGTTTGTTTCTTCATGGGAACAGATTTGGAGAAATGTAGCATTACATCACTTGCTCATCAATGGATGCTCTGCAGTGAATGGGTGCCGTCAGAATGAGAGTCCAAACAGCTGATAAAAACATCACAGTACCTCTGTACTGGAGCACCACTCCAGTCCATCAGTGAACATCTTGTGAAGTGAAAAGCTGCATGTTTGCAAGAAACAAATCCATCAAGATGATTTTAACTTTAGTCTAAAATACGAATCCTCTATCTTGAGTTCTCTATATTGCTTTCTGCAGTGAAAAAGTAATCTCTGTTTATAAGTGAAAACAGTTCTAAACAAATATGAGGTGGATTTTGATGCATTTTTCACTGGAGGAAGCATTATTATGGATTATGGACTCATATTTTATATATTATATTTTGGCCAAAAGTGATGGCTAAGAAGTTGAAAACATCTTAGTGGTGGATTTGTTTCTTTAAAAAAAAAAAACAGCTGTTTGGACTCTCATTCTGACGGCACCCATTCACTGCAGAGGATCCACTGGTGAGCAATGCTAAATTTCTCTAAATCATCAAATTGTCAGTTTTGGTTGAGCTACTGCTTTAAGGAGGGCACAAGCAAATGTCTTATTGTTACACTGATCCTCCACCCCCTTAAAAGCAGAGATGATGAGTGTTCACATCTAATATAAAACTCCCATTGTTTTTTTTTAATCAATAATAGTGTGCAGTGGCCATGTGTGTCTGTTATCACTTGTCTGTGTTTGTGTACACTCAGTGTGGATGATGGTAGAGAAAGACAGGATTATCTGCTGACCGACACAGCTGTCTAAACAGCCAGCGGTTTGTGTGTGCTGGGAGTGAAGGGTCCTGTAGTGCGGAGATCCAAACTCCCCAAACACAAAAACAAACAGTAACCGAGAGCTTCTCATGTTTCCCGACAGTGACGGGAAGAGAAACGAAGCTTCGGGATTTCAGGAAAAACTGGGAATCACATTGAAAATTGCTTTGTTGGAATATGTTAGATAAAACTATTCTTAAAAAGTGAAAGGCCAAAAAAAAAAAAAAGTGGTGCGTTCAATAATTTTACTGCTTTTTCTTATTTCCTGAAGTTGAGCATTTCTTTTTAATTTTCATTTATGCATTTGGCAAAGGCTTTTATCCAAAGATACATACATTGCCCATTTTTCTTGGGATTCAGAAGACAACAGGCTCTAGAGTTTTTCACTGGATGAAGTGTTATGGATTGTGTATTTTGGCCAGAACAGTGGCTTAAATTAGTTAAATTATTTCACACATTTCCTGGGAATCAATCCCATGATGTTGGTCCAAGCACCGCCCAATTAGCCAGGAAGAGGTCGTCTGACTGACATGTAAAGTGACCAATCCCAGTTGTTCTGTTCGACATCACGTTTACAGATTAAATAGCTTCTTTCATGTTTACCTGAGGGGAGGATCCAAAGGGTTGGCCGAATCTGCAAAATCTTGTCAGTAAACGTGCAAAAACATCTCTTTTAAGTGCCTCAAACAACAACAGCAAAAAAAGCTTGAATATCTTTTAAAGTTTCTGTGCTTTGAACTTCACAAACATTGATTAAATCAAACATTTAGTTGCTCCTCTCAAGCATTCATTGCTGCAGTATTGGAAAACCTTTTGAAGTCAGCCAATCAAATTCAAACTTTTGTCTTCACAAAAGTGTTTCTAGTTTTTGTGTGTTAATTACTTGCATAATTGATTAAATTTCACACTAGACGACTAAATAATGTCTAACGTTAACTAATCACTGGCTAATACACTGATAGATTTCATTTTTAGTTGTTATGCCTTCAAATCATGCCTTTTTGTGAATAGAAACTGATTTGTTTTGGAATATCCATATAATTTGTGTATCTGTCTATCTAGATTATATATATATATGGTGATTCAATTGCCAAGTTGTGCGTAGAGTTGTGACAGTTGTTCAGTCAAAACTAGCAGTTGAGATAGAAAATTGAAGTAGCCTATTTAACAAGATAACCAAGTTGTGGGTTTAGTGCCAAAGGGTTTCGCTTAGACTGTAACATAAAACCTTCATTCATGTTTTTCTAAGATCATCTGTACGTTTCGGAGCAGTAGCACATGAATAAGTGGGCCAGTGGGCTTTACTCGACGAGGTGAGCATTGCTTTAACTGCAGCCAGACTCTTTCTCAGGCCCTTTTCAGGTTACCAGATTAAGCCATGCATCTCAACCGATATCATGTTGTGTTTATATCTATTTTATTACTGGTTTCAACTCTTTATTGTCCCATGTCATCTTAAATTTTGGGATGCATGATTTATTTCTGTTCCAGACATGCTATTACTCTTGTACTCTCTTAGTTTTACATAAACAAAGAAAAGATAAACTATGAATTCTTTTCCTGCTAAATGCCTTGTCAGCACGGCAGTCAGAAGCCGCAAACCACACTGGAATTTACAGAGCGGCAGCGCTGCCGTTTGATCTTCTTTAATGGTACTGTCGAGACTGGCTGGAAATAAGATGCTATCTCAGGTCTGAGCTGATTTTTCCTCCTCCAGCCTTGTCTTCGCTCAGAGATGTGACTTTCATAAATTCCTCTGAGTGTGAGAGATGATTGACGTCTCCTTGCTCAATTTAATGCAGCTGACTGCAAAATGTTGTTTACTAACAGGGCTTGGAGTGAGTCCAGGATTTAATTTCCCCCGCTGGCAAACATGAGACCCTCTCAGACACTAACTCAAGTCAGCACATTTTTGGACGGCACAATTCGTGATTTACAGATTGAGCCCCTCAATGTCTCAATAGCAGTTTAGCAATGCTCAGATGATCCAGCACTACTATTAATCAACTGCTTTTCCATTTTTTACACACACACACACACACACACACACACACACATATATATATATACGTGTATGTATGTATGTGTGTGTGTGTGTAAATGTGTTTAATGAAATAAATACATAAATATATATATATATGTGTGTGTGTAAATGTGTTTTATGAAATAAATAAATACATCAATAAATAAATGACACTCATTTTAAGCACATTATTGAACTGTTTAAACATTTTAACAGAAAAAGGCAGCTTGTTGTCAAAGCAAAATTTCTAATTTTTACTGAAAATAACTAAAGCTAAATCTGAAAAACCCCAACACACACACACACACACACACACACACACACACACATATATATATATATGTGTATGTATGTATGTGTGTGTGTGTAAATGTGTTTAATGAAATAAATACATAAATATATATATATATGTGTGTGTGTGTAAATGTGTTTTATGAAATAAATAAATACATCAATAAATAAATATGACACTCATTTTAAGCACATTATTGAACTGTTTAAACATTTTAACAGAAAAAGGCAGCTTGTTGTCAAAGCAAAATTTCTAATTTTTACTGAAAATAACTAAAGCTAAATCTGAAAAACCCCATTTATATAGACATACTGTAAAAACTAATAAAAGTGCACAAAATTAATAAAACTTTAACTAAAAATAAAATAAATACTATAATATTCTCAGTGATACTAAAATAACATTGATTCACACATACAATGACTTGAATACACCTTTAAGCAAAAAAAAAAAAAAAAGTCACGGTGATACAATTTTCCTAATATTGAAATGAAGGGAAAAAACGCTTCATTATAAGAATGAAAAGGGGGAAAAAAAGAAGAACATTTTTATGCCAAGGAGTAATTTGGTATAATGGTTAGTTCTTACAAATTTCATACAAACAAAACTGCAAACAAAATGTTTACAGGCCAAAAATCACTAAAAAGACTGTGTTGACAAGGTCTGGGTCCTGATTATTTACAAATTGTTCCTATACACTAAAAATATGATTTTTCAAATAAAACAAATACATAAATTAAACATATCAATGGAGTGCATTTTAAAAGAAAATAATGTTTAAATTTGTTTATGAATAGTTTTTCACTGTACTTGGGATAAAATTGGGATTTTACTCCCAGAAATCAACTGTAAGACTTTGTTGCTTAAGACTTTTTAATTTGTAGCTTGCCATGAATGAGTTAATTCTGTGTTTTCTCTGTCTTTTTGTTCTCTTAGGCCTATGCCAAGTTTGCTGGTGCTCCTCTTAAAGTTCACAAAATCACCAACCCATGGAGAAGCCCTACAGGTGAGTTTTCTGCCAGAATCATGTCAGGCTTCACTGGTCATCTGACACACGAAGCTGTTAAAGTGAGCTACTGCCAAAGACTGAATGACAGCTTGTATGTATGCGGCACGAGGGAACCTTAGACTGGTCATTGCACCCTCTTTCAGTTTGGGTCAGAGTTCAAAAGGTCATAGGTTAATGGTTCAAGCATCCACTGACTTCTGGAACCCTTTGAGGAGAGCGTTAGGTTTGAATACACTTGTACTTAAGGGAGTGTGTTGAATTGTTCTCAAATTTTCTCAAGTAGAGTTAACATGCGAGTTGTTTTCTCCTCCAAAAGGTACTCTGCCTGCTCTGAAGACCAGGGAAGGAGGAAGCATCTCCCAACCCAGTAAGATCATCATTCATCTCAGGAAACAGGTGAACAACCTCCCTCTCAACCTTCAGAGAGAGGCCAACAAAACACACACAAACACACACACACACACTCAACAGGTGAGGATTAGACCCTAAAGCTCCTTGGCATCTAAATCAAGATCTGCATCCTCAGAAAACAGGTGAAGGATTTTCCTTGAAGATGCTAAGCAGGTTGTGAGAGAGTGTTGAGTGATGAAAAGACAGCTGTTCTGAAGCTCTTTTTAAAGGAAATAGTTAGTAACATCTGGAGTTAGACCTGGAAACCTGTACCCAGAATGCATATGTTCAAACATACATTAAAAACGGCAAGACAGTGTTTTCTCATGTATTTGATTTGCTCCTATTGGAATTCTGACATGGTGATTAAATGAAGAGCAAAACATAAACATAAATTTTGGGCTCAGTAAGATAATTTTATTTTATTTTTAAAGAAGATAATACTTTTATCTAGCAAGGATGCATTTAATTTTTAAAAAGACATTTACAACAGACATTTGTATATATATATATATATATATATATATATATAGCATAAAAAGTCTGCCACATTTTTAAAGTCTGAATGCATATGAAACATGAAGTAGAAAGTTAACTTAAATTATACTCTGAGAGACAAATGTGCCAAATACTTGCATTTTAAAAGAGTACCTGTCTGTCAGGTTATGTCACTTTTTATTATTTTATAAAGAAAATAATTCAGATTACTCTTGACATTGTTGGTGATGTAAGTTGTTGTAGCTGTGAGGAGAGCGGTCTCCCAGTAACAGCTTCTGGTTTGTTTTAAAGGCGGTGGGTATGGCATGACCTTTTATAGCTTGTTAGTGGTGAACTAAGAGTGTGCACAGCATGTCTGAGTTACCCCCGTGAAAGAGACATGGAAATTGACTAATTTTATTGCTTGAAACCTTCCGTTGTTGTGTCCATTTAGTCCTTAAGAGGGTTTTTGGCTTCGTATTAGACATCCAGAAATGTTTAAACACATCATGGTCAGTTACATTCACTGCTTACAGTTACATTAACAACTGCTGTGATGCTGCAGCTGCTGCTTTGATTGTTAGTCACTGCTTTTTCAGTAGACAAACAATATAGTACAATTCAGTGCAAATGTGATGAGTGCTTTTAAATACTGTCTCTTGTGTTTCAGAAGTACAATGCAGACTATGATCTATCAGCAAAGGAGGGCGCAGATACGCTTGCCTTTGTCTCCCTACTGGAGGAGAAACTGCTACCTGCGCTGGTGAGGATTGAGCAGCAAAAGACAATAAAATAGATATATCACTATATGGACAAAACTATTGGGACATACCTCTTATACACTGCAAAAATGATTTTCTAGTACAAATATCTACAAATTCTTGAATCAGGAAGCATTTACTTAACAAGTATGACCCTGTTCCCCTCACACACACACACACACACACACACACAACACGACGCGTTACTCGGCGCTGCGCAAAACCCCGCAGTTGAACAGTCAATAGCAAATACTTAAACTAGTAACAAAA